CCTCAGCTTCTTTATGAACAGAAGTGGCTATTCATAATACCAGGAATTGGTGGAATTGGAACTTTATAGTTTACTCACATCTAAGTTTCCACAGTTGTGTCAAAAACATTCCAGGCTGAAAAATCAAAATAAAGGCTCAAGCTTGCTCATTTCTGGACTAAAGGCATGGTCTGTATGGGGGTGTCCATGAAAGGAAAACCACAATTGCCAATGAGCACCAGACTGCTGTCGGACCTGCAGACGAATCCACAGAGGGAACAACAGCACAGCTACATAAAGTCACACTCACAGCTGACAGGCTGCACTCGGCACAGAAAACTCACATCGCTAGCGGTTTCACTTAGCAGTGAAGCTGCTGCTGCAGTGCACAAACTACGTTTTCCAAGACAATCTTAAAAATATTCTAAACCGAAACAGGGCAGAAAGCATTTAGCATTAGCATTCTCAAACTCTTTTTTTTTTTTTTTTTTTTTTTTTTTTGTGAGACAGAGTTTCACTCTTGTTACCCAGGCTGGAGTGCAATGGCGCGATCTTGGCTCACCGCAACCTCCGCCCCCTGGGTTCAGGCAATTCTCCTGCCTCAGCCTCCTGAGTAGCTGGGATTACAGGCACGCGCCACCATGCCCAGCTAATTTTTTGTATTTTTAGTAGAGACGGGGTTTCACCATGTCGACTAGGATGGTCTCGATCTCTTGACCTCGTGATCCACCCGCCTCGGCCTCCCAAAGTGCTGGGATTACAGGCTTGAGCCACCGCGCCCGGCCCTAGCATTCTCAAACTCTTAAAGGAGTCTCTCAAACTTAACATTATTGTATGTACACATATATGTATGTGTTTCATTTTCTCTCTTTTTTTTTTTTTTCCAGATAGATCATTGCTCTGTCACCCAGGCTAGAGTGCAGTGGTGCGATCTTTGCTCACTGCACCCTCCCCCACTGGGGTCCAAGACATTGTCCTGCCTCAGCCACCTGAGTAGCTGAGATTACAGGTGCACGCCACCAAGCCCAGCTAATTTTTGTATTTTTGGTAGAGTCGGGGTTTCACCAAGTTGGTCAGGATGGTCTCAAATGCCTGACCTCAAGTGATCCAGCCATCTCAGCCTCCCAAAGTGCTGGGATTACAGGTGTGAGCCACAGCGCCCGGCCTTCATTTTCTTTTAAACTCTGACCCAAAATGTATTAACCAGCTTCCTCTTTGGGCCAAGTTGGACCAAGAAGATTTACTATTCTGTATGAACTGACCAGAAATGGACAAAATAGGGCTGTGTATGGTGGTTCATACCTGTAATCCCAGCACTTTAGGAGGCCAAGGCAGGTGGATCACCTGAGTTCAGAAGTTCAAGTCCAGCCTGGCCAACATGATGTAACCCCGTCTCTAATTTTTGTAAAAATACAAAAATTAGCCGGGCATGGTGGGGTGCACCTGTAGTCCCAGGTACTTGGGAGGTTAAGGCATGAGAATAGCTTGAACCTGGGAGGCGGAGGCTTCAGTGAGCTACTGCACTCTAGCCTGGGCAACAGAGGGAGACTCTGTCTCAATAAAATAAAACAAAAACTAACAAAGAACTGACACAGATGTTAGATTTAGCAGAGAAGAACATTGAAACACTTAATATAACCATATATGTTCAAAATACTAAACGGAAACATATTTTAGATCAAAATCAAATGTTATCGGATTCAAATCAAATGCTATAATGTCTGGGATTAAAAATGCACTGGATGTAATTAGTGTACGGTTAGACATTGCAGAAAAATGATTCATGAACTTGAAGGCACTGCAGTAGAAACTATCAGAAATCAAAAACAGAAAAGAGAGTTTTGAAAGTAGGCATAGCATCAGGAAACTGTGGGACGACTATCAAGAAGCTTAATAGATGTGTAATGGGAGATCTAGAAGAAGAGAGAAAAGGGACAGAAAAAATATTGAAAGATACAATAGCTGAGGCTGGGCATGGTGGCTTGTGCCTATAATCCCAGCACTTTGGGAGGCCAAGGCGAGTGGATCACCTGACGTTAGGAGTTTGAGATCAGCCTGGCTAACATGGTGAAATCCCATGCCCACTAAAAATACAAAAAAGTAGCTGGGTATGGTGGAGCGTGCCTGTAATCCCAGCTACTTGGGAGGCTGTGGCAGAAGAACTGCTGGAACTCGAGAGGCAGAGCTGAGATCACGCCACTGCACTCCAGCCTGGGTGACAGAGTGAGAGACTCTGTCTGGAAAAAAAAATATCTATCTAGGCTGAAAATTTTCTAAATTTGATGTAAACTATAAATCCAGGGAATCAAGAATTTGAATAACCCCAAGCACAAAATCATGAAGAAAACTATACGAGAGCCCATGATAAGCCAACTGCTTAAAGCCACTGACAAAGGGAAACTAAAGGCAGCCAGAGACAAAGGATACGTTTAACACTGAGGAACAGTGAGAGAAGGGCTGCAGATCTCTCAATGGAAGCAACTGTGGCAAGACAGTGGAGCAACCTTTTCACATTATTGAAAGAGAAAACCTATCAGTTTAGAATTCCACACACAGTGGAAGTATCTTTCAAAATAAGGATAAAATCAAGACTTTTTCAGAATATAGAAGTTAAAAAAATGTATCACCGGCAAACCTGTCCTATAAGAAATGTTAGAAGATTTCTTTCAGGCAGAAAAACAACTGAGGCCAGGCACAGTGGCTCATGCCTGTAATCCCAGCGTTTTGGGAGGTTGAAGGCAGGTAGATTGCTTGAGCCCAGGAATCTGAAACCAGCCTGGGCAACATGGTGAAAATCTGTCTCTACAATAACATACAAAAATTAGCTGGGATGTGGTGGCACATGCCTGTATTCCCAAGTACTCAGAAGGCTGAGGTAGGATCACTTGAGGTTGTAGTGAGCTGAGACCTTGCCACTGCACTCCAGCCAGGGCAACAGAGTGAGACCCTGTCTCAAAAAAAAAAAAAAAAAAAAAAAAAAATTGATACCAGATGGAAAGATGAACCTACACAGAAGAATGAGTTATACCAGGAATGCTAACTATATTATCAGTAGATAAATGTATGGCTTTTTTCTTGTTACTGAAACTTCATTAAAAGATGACTGACTAGGCCGGGTGCGGTGGCTCAAGCCTGTAATCCCAGCACTTTGGGAGGCCGAGGCGGGTGGATCACGAGGTCAAGAGATCGAGACCATCCTGGTCAACATGGTGAAACCCCGTCTCTACTAAAAATACAAAAAATTAGCTGGGCATGGTGGCGCGTGCCTGTAATCCCAGCTACTTAGGAGGCTGAGGCAGGAGAATTGCCTGAACCCAGGAGGTGGAGGCTGCGGTGAGCCGAGATCGCGCCATTGCACTCCAGCCTGGGTAACAAGAGCGAAACTCCCTCTCATAAAAAAAAAAAAAAAAAAAAAGATGACTGACTGTCGGCCGGGCACGGTGGCTCAAGCTTGTAATCCCAGCACTTTGGGAGGCCGAAGCGGGTGGATCACGAGGTCGAGAGATCGAGACCATCCTGGTCAACATGGTGAAACCCCCGTCTCTACCAAAAATACAAAAAATTAGCTGGGCATGGTGGCACGTGCCTGTAATCCCAGCTACTCAGGAGGCTGAGGCAGGAGAATTGCCTGAACCCAGGAGGCGGAGGTTGCGGTGAGCTGAGATCGTGCCATTGCACTCCAGCCTGGGTAACAAGAGCAAAACTCCGTCTCAAAAAAAAAAAAAAGATGACTGACTGTCAGATCGGGTATGGTGGCTCACCCCTGTAATCCCAGCACTTTGGGAGACTCAGGCAGGCAGATCATGAGGTCTAGAGTTTGAAACCAGCCTGACTAATGTGTTGAAACCCCGTATCTACTAAAAATACAAAAATTAGCCAGGCGTGGTGGTGTGCACCTGTAATCCCAGCTACTTGGGAGACTGAAGCAGGAGAATCACTTTAAGCCAGAAGGCAGAGGTTGCAGTGAGCTGAAATCACGCCACTGTACTCCAGCCTGGGCCACAGAGGGAGACTCCAACTCAAAAAAACAAAAAACAAAAAACCCACGACTGACTGTCTGACTGTTTAAACAGAAATAGTAACAATAAAGTAGAGAGTGTATAGCCAATGTCAAAGTAAAATGCAGGACTACAAAGGCAGGAAAGTTAACAGTAGATAAACTGCAGGTTCTTACATGTGAAGTGGCATAATATCAACTGAAGATGGGTTGTATATGTCAAAGACGGGCATTCCAAATCAGAAAGCAAATAAAACTACAGCTAGCAAGCCAACAATGAAAATAACACGGAGGCCGCGCATGATGGTTCATGCCTGTAATCCCAGCACCTTTGGGAGGCTGAGGCAGGCGAATCACTCAAACCTAGGAGTTTAACATCAGCCTGAGCAACAGAGCAAACCCCAGACTCTACAAAAAACATAAAACATTAGTCATGCAGGGTGGTACATGCTTGTAGTCCCAGCTACTCATGGGAGTTGATGTAGGAGAATCACCTGAGTCTGGGAGGTCAAGGCTGTAACGAGTCATAGTCACACCACAGCACTCCAGCCTGAGGAACAGGGTTAGACCTTTATTCAAAAAAATAAATAAAACAAAAAATAACATGGAATCCCACTAAATTAAAATGAGATATTATCTCCAAAGTGGGGAAAAAAACAGAAAAGGTAAACAAACAACAAATAGGACAAGTAAAAACCAGAAAGGAAAATGGTAGATTGTATCCGAACTACATCAATAGTCATAGTTAAAAAACTGAATACCCAAAGGAAAAGGCAGAGATTGTCAGATTGAATAAAAGATATCAAGACTCAATTATAGTCCACCTGTAAGAAACTCACTTTAAATATAAAGAGATAATAGACCAAAAATGAAAGGATGAAAAAATATATACAATGCTAATGCTGAACAAAAGAAAGATGGAGTTGCTGTATTAATAAAAGACAAGTCAATTTCAGAGTTAAACATATTACCAGGGATATAAAAGGTGATTTCACAGTGATTAAAAAAGTCAATTCTTCTTTCTCTGCTGAGAGCTTCGAAAATGACAAAGAAAAGAAGGAACAACGGTCGTGCCAAAAAGGGCCGTGGCCACGTTCAGCCTATTCACTGCACGAACTGTGCCCGATGTGTGCCCAAGGACAAGGCCATTAAGAAATTCGTCATTCGAAACATAGTGGAGGCCGCAGCAGTCAGGGATATTTCTGAAGTGAGCGTCTTTGATGCCTATGTACTTCCCAAGCTCTATGTGAAGCTACATTACTGTGTGAGTTGTGCAATTCACAGCAAAGTAGTCAGGAATCGATCTCGTGAAGCCCGCAAGGACCGAACACCCCCACCCCGATTTAGACCTGCGGGTGCTGCCCCACGATCCCCACCAAAACCCATGTAAGGAGCTGAGTAAAAGATTGAAGACAACTATTCTCTGGAGAAAAACAAAATGGAAATTGTACTTGAAAAAAAAAAAAGTCAATTCATCAAGAGGACATAAAATTCATCAATGTTCACACATCTAACAACAGCTTCAAAATATGTGAGGAAAAAAATGATAGAACCGCAAGGAAAAAAATAAGACAAATCCACAATTACATTCGTAATTTCAGTATTTTCTCACAAATATTGATAGCTATATGAATAAAACCATTGAGGATACAGAAAATTTAAACGAAACCATTGGCTGGATGCACTGGCTCACACCTGTAATCCCAGCACTTTGGGAGGCCAAGGCAAGCAGACCACTTGAGGTGAGGAGTTTGAAACCAGCCTGGCCAACATGGTGAAATCCCATCTCTACTAAAAGTACAAAACATCAGCTGAGTACGGTGGCAGGCCCCTGTAATCCCAGCTACTCAGGAGGCTGAGGTAGGAGAACTGCTGGAGGCAGAAGTTGCAGTGAGCCGAGATCGTACCACTGCACTTCAGCCTGGGTGGCAGCGTGAAACTGTCTAAAAAAAAAAAATTGATTAATTAAATTAACTATCAAATAACCTGACTCACTTGACATTTATAAAAGTCTTCACCCAAAAACAACAGAATAAAAATTTCCCAAGACTGATTATATTCTGGGCCATAAAGGAAGCCTCAATAAACATAAGTCATACAAAGTATGTTCTTTGACCACAGAGAAATTAAATCAGAAAGCAGTAACAGAAATATTTCTAAAAATCCTCAAATATTTAGAAACTGAATAACACACGTCTAAATAACCGGTGCATCAAAAAAGAAATCGAATGAAAAATTATAAAGTCTTCTGAACTGAAAAAAAGCGAACAAATTATATCAAAATTTTTACTAAAACAGAACTTGGGAGGAAGTTTATAGCACTAAATATCTACCCTAGAAAACATGACAGATCTCAAACCAATGACCTTAGTTTCCATCTTAAAAGATTTAGACAAGCAATTGAACCCATAGTAAATAAAAGAAATCTGAGTAAAAATAAGTAAGATAGTACATAGAAAAGCAATAGAAAAAAACAATGAAACATGGAAAGACATTCCATGTTCATGGATTAGAAGACTTAATTTTGGGCTGGGCGTGGTGGCTCAAGCCTGTAATCCCAGCACTTTGGGAGGCCGAGGCGGGTGGATCACGAGGTCGAGAGATGGAGACCAACCTGGTCAACATAGTGAAACCCCGTCTCTACTAAAAATACAAAAAACTAGCTGGGCGTGGTGGCGCCTGCCTGTAATCCCAGCTACTTAGGAGGCTGAGGCAGGAGAATTGCCTGAGCCCAGGAGGTGGAGGTTGCAGTGAGCCGAGATCACGCCATTGCACTCCAGCCTGGGTAACAAGAGCGAAATTCTGTCTCAAAAAAAAAAATAGAAGACTTAATTTTGTTAAAGTAGTCCTAGGTCACCAAATTAATCTATAGATTCAATGTTATCCCTATCAAAAATCCCAGCTGACTTCCTTGCAGGAATTGCCAAGCCAATCTTAAAATTCAAATAGAAATTCAAAGGACCCAGAACAGCTAAAACAATCTGGAAGAAAAACAAAGCTGAGGGACTCACATTTCCAAATTTCAACACATAATACAAAACTACAATACTCAGGCCGGGCGCAGTGGCTCAAGCCTGTAATCCCAGCACTTTTGGGAGGCCGAGGCGGGCGGATCACGAGGTCAAGAGATCGAGACCATCCTGGTCAACATGGTGAAACCCCGTCTCTACTAAAAAATACAAAAAATTAGCTGGGCATGGTGGCGTGTGCCTGTCATCCCAGCTACTCAGGAGGCTGAGGCAGGAGAATTGCCTGAACCCAGGAGGCGGAGGTTGCGGTGAGCCGAGATGGCGCCATTGCACTCCAGCCTGGGTAACAAGAGTGAAAACTCCGTCTCAAAAAAAAAAAAAAAAACTAGCCCGGCATAGTGGCACACATTTGTAGTCCCAGCTACCTTCCAGGCTGAGGTGGGAGGACTCCCTGAGCTGGGATGTTGAAGCTGGAGTGAGCCATGATCGCACCACTGCACTCCAGCCTGAGTAACAGAGCTAGACCCTGTCTTAAAAAAAAATGCACTTGGAACCCCATCCCACACTATATTCAAAATTAACTAAAATGGAACATAGGTCTACATGTAAAATTACAAGATTCCTAGAAGAAAACATTAAGATACAGAATGAGAGAAGTTTTTGCAAATAATAGATCCAATAAGGAACTTCTAGGTAGTATAAAGAATTATTACAACTCAACAATAAGGAGAAATTCACCCAATTAAAAAATGGGCAAGGATCTGAGAGACATTTCCCCTAAGAAGATATACAGATGGCCAAAATGCACATGAAAAAATGCTTGACATCATTAGTTATCCAGGAAATGTAAAACAAAACCACAAGGAGGAAACACTTCATATCCACTTAGGATGGCTATAATTCAAAAGACAAGTAAGTCTTGGTGAGGATGTGGAGAAACTGGAACCCTCATCCATGGCCAGTGGGAATGTAAAACGGTACAGCCACTTTGTGCCACAATATGGCAGTTCCTCAAATGGTTAAACACAGTTACCATGATATCTAGAAACGCCAAAGCTAAGTATATACCCAAGAGAAATGAAAACATATATATGCCCGTATAAAAACTTGTACTTGGCTGGGCATGGTGGCTCACGCCTGTGATCCTAGCACTTTGGGAAACTGAGGTGGGCAGATCACTTGAGGTCAGGAGTTCGAGACCAGCCTGGCCAACATGGTGAAACCCCATCTCTACTAAAAATACAGAAATTAGCTGGCACACACCTGTTGTCCCAGCTACTCAGGAGGTTGAGGCAGGAGAAATGCCTGAACTCAGGAGGCAGAGGTTGCAGTGAGCCTAGATGTGCCGCTGTACTCCAGCCTGGGTGACATAGTGAAACTGTCTCAATCAATCAATCAATCAATCACCTGTACATTAGGCCAGGCACAGTAGCTCATACCTATAATCCCAGAACGTTGGGAGCCCAAGGCAGGTGGATCACTTGAGCCCAGGAGTTTGAGACCAGCTTGGGCAACATGGCAAGATCCCGTCTCTACAGAATAGTTTTCAAAAATTAGATGGGCATGGTGGTGCATGCCTGTAGTCCTAGCTACTTGCTGAGGCAGGGGGATCACTTGAACCCAGATCAAGGCTGCAGTGAGCCATCATCGCTCCACTGCACAGCAACCTGGGTAACAGAGCAAGACCCTGTCTCAAAAAGGGGGAAAAAAAAAGCTAGAAAGAAGGATCTTCAATTAATTCTTATGACACTAGAAAATAAATATCAACTTGATCTTCTAGCCCAAGTATCTAAGATGTGGCTCTACCCAAGAAATCAGGTCTTCAGAGAGTTCTTTAGGGAAGAGTCTCAGCAGATATGAAAGACTGAGTGGACATGAAGCTTTAGGTGTTCTAGGCAGACAACTTTCAATCTCAAACATACAAGTATGGTCAGTGTGTGGTAAGCAGCGGGACTTCCTGTGAAAAAAGCCAAGCACTGGAGTTGCACAGTAAGCCTAGTCCTGAGATGCAGGGTAAATGTAAGCAAGGCCTTCATTCATCTTTTCTCCAGTGCCTAGGACAGGGCTTGAGACAAAGCAGGTATTCAAAACATGTCTGCCCAATGGAAACGATAAACCCTATTGCCATTGAACTGACACGTGTTCACAGTAGCTATCCAGACTGCAAGGAAACTCACAGTGATGAGACACTCACATTACAGGAGAGGTGCTTCATTCTGGCTCTGCCCAAGAATCACCAGCCAAGTCACTACAGAGATGGGTCCTGGCTGCTGTGTTTTCTAAAACTTTGCTGGTATTATATGCAGAGTACAGAGCCTCTAGGTTGTGAAGTAAGAAACTAGTTACTGTTCCTCAGTAACTAAATTCTGGAAACATCTGTGAGAGAGAAACACACAGAGAGGCAGAGAGAAGACAGAAAACGTGGTCGAACAACTTGGATACTTTATTGAACTCAATCTGGATTATTAAATCAAAAACTAGGACACAATACAATATAAACAAAACTTTATCAAATTAAGAGGCAATATACACCACAGCAATAAGATACTCATTATTCTTTAGTAACAGTCAGGAAGTATTGCAACCTCAAGCCTGGCACTCAATTTCAGCAATTCCAATCTGATAGATCATTCAGAGTGTCTTCCATTAAGTCTTCCCTGTTCTCTCTGATCAATAACGACCTCTGGCTCCCCTTCCCTGACAGCCCACAGCATCACACTTTTCATCATTTTATGATGGCCAATTTAGGACTTCACTGGGAAGCTTTGTGGGTATTTTTTATTTTTACTCTTTTATTTGATACAGAGTCTCACTCTGTCATCCAGGCTGGAGTGCAGTGGTGTGATCTCAGCTCACTGCAACCTCTGCCTCCCGGGTTCAAGCAATTCTCCTGCCTCAGCCTCCTGAGTAGCTGGGATTACAGGCCTAGACCACCAAGCCCAGCTAATGTTTCAATTTTTAGTAGAGATGGGGTATCACATGTTGACAAGGCTGGTCTGGAGCTCCTCACCTCAAGTGACCTGCCTGCCTCAGCCTCCCAAAGTTTTGGGATTACAGGCGTGAGCCACTGCACTGGGCCGGCTATGTAGTTTAGTTCCACAAATGCCACATGGGAAGCTGTGTAGCCTTGTGGTTAACAGGGCAGGCTTTGAAGCCAGATGACTTGGATTTAAAACCTACTTCCACCATTAACTAGCTGTGTATCCTTAGGCCAGTTAATTACCCCTCTGTGTCTCAGTTGCCTCACTTGTATCATAGGAATAATTTAGCAGTGCTGTGCTATAAATTCAGATAATCCAGGCTGGGCACAGTGTCTCATACCTGTAATCCCAGCACTTTAAGAGGCTGAGGCCGGCAGATCACCTGAGGTCAGGAGTTCGAGACCAGTCTGGGCAACATGGTGAAACCCCATTTCTACTAAAAATACAAAAATTAGCCAGGCGTGGTGGCAGGCACCTGTAATCCCAGCTACTCGGGAGGCTGAGGCAAGAGAATCGCTTGAACCCAGGAGAAGGAGGTTGCAGTGAGCCAAGACTGCGCCACTGCACTGCAACCTAGGCAAGAGTGAGACTCTGTCTCAAAAAAAAAAAAAAAAGAAAGAAAGAGAAAAATCAGATAACCATTCAATCACTAGCAGTATTTGCCATGTCTCCACTAAATTTCTCAACGTCATAGAAAACACAGCACAATCTAACAGGAGCTCTTCACTGCCTCCCACAGCTCCACACCACTCCTCTCAAGGAACAGCAGCACTGCCCTCCCAGGGCGCAAGTCAACCCTGGGATCACCCTGGACTCCTCCCTTCACATTACCCTGCCATGGCCACTCCATCAGTGAGCCTGTCTGTCCTCCCTCTAAATATACAGTCACGTCTGTCTAGTGTCACCACCCCACTGCCCTCTGTTGAGCAAGCCTCTGTCACTTCTCTGACTGATATACTTTTTTTTTTTTTTTTTGAGACGGAGTTTCGCTCTTGTTATCCAGGCTGGAGTGCCATGGCGCGATCTCGGCTCACTGCAACCTCCGCCTCCTGGGTTCAGGCAATTCTCCTGCCTCAGCCTCCTGAGTAGCTTGGATTACAGGCACGCGCCACCATGCCCAGCTACTTTTTTGTATTTTTAGTAGAGACGGGGTTTCACCATGTTGACCAGGATGGTCTCCATCTCTTGACCTCGTGATCCACCCGCCTCGGCCTCCCAAAGTGCTGGGATTACAGGCTTGAGCCACCGCGCCCGGCGACTGATATACTATTGTAGCCGCAAGCCTTGCTTCCCTGCCTGCACTCTGACCACCACCCCTTTAACTTTCCAGAGCAGTGGAGTAAGATCTTAACACATCAGCATAATCACGTCACTTTCCTGTTTGCTTTTCAAAATTCCATCTTATTAGGGCCAGCGTGGTTTGAAGGCTCTTGGTTACAAAAGCACCCCAACCTGCTATATTACTGTACTATACTATCACCATATTACTGGGGTAACCTGCATCCTAGTAAGATAACAATTGGTATCTGGAGGGGGAATGTGAATGTGACAGAAACCTAAGTGGCACTGGCTTCAGGGTCAGGTAGTGGGTGGCGGGGAAACAGACGGTGCAGGGTAAAAGCTAGTCAGTCTCCCTACGCATCTAAAAAAATGCTGCTCGAATTAACTGGGAAGACGGATCCTGCACTTACCAGGCCTGTGCAGCTCTTAAAGGGAAAAAAAAAAGCAAATATTCGGTATGTTGGCTACTCACTGCTGCCCTTAGAAAGGAACTTTGAAATAAATGAGGTTAGGAACTAGCCAACTTGCAAGCATAGGTGAAAGGTAAGATACAGTAACGCCAAGCGGCGTCTTCCTGCTCCAGTCCCGCAGGACTTCTTTCAGTTCCCCTGAGACACTAAACTCCTTCCTCCAACACTGTTTTTTTTTTTTGCCAGCTCCCACCGTGCCTATCCCTGGTCATCCTTCAAGGCTCACACACACCTGACTTACCTTTCCACCCTGGGTCTTGTGCGGGTCCCCCTATTACCATCTTATCTTACCCTCTTCTCATCTATTAATGGACTCAACCCAAGCACCCCTAGTACGCTCAATGCCGGGTAATTTTCTGCGCTGTTCGCTGCCCCGTCCCCGTCCCCCAACACCCAGCCCCGGGCCTGGCACGTGGTAGGCGCTCAGTGAACGAGACTCAGGAACAGTAAAGTGTAGACGGCAGGAGAAGACATGACCCGGACACCAAGCACCGAGTTCATGCAAAGTGTCCCGGCCCAGGTTTTGCGGAGCCTGGGTCTGGAGCCCCACTGAGCGCGCGGGTCAGGAACATGCCCGCGTTCCGCGAGTCCGCGCAGGCGCGAAACCGGGAGGGCGGCGTCAAACCCCTCCCGTGTCGGCCACGCCCACAACGGGCCACGCCCACCAGCGCACGCCCTCCCAGGCAGGAGCGCGGGCGCGTGAAGGGCTTCGGCCGGGCCTTCCCACAGGGAGGACCGCGCCGGGAAACACGAGGCGCGATGGGAGCCCGCCCAGGGGCCATCCGTCCTCCCGTCCCTAACGCCCAGGCCCCGGGGGCTCACCACGTCCCCCAGAACCTGCAGCTCCTCCGCCTTCCGCCGTCGCCAGCGGCCGAGCGCCAGGCTCTCCATGCAGCCCCAGGCTCAAGGCCGTCCGGCCTCTCAGGCCCGGCAGTGGCCCGCGCGCCACGCCCCTTTCCGCACACCGCCCTGGGGAGCCAATGGGGAGACGGAGGGGCGGGGCGCCGCGGGAAGCGTGAGAGCGCCTAGGCGAGGACCGCAGGCAGCCGTAGCAGAGACCAGAGACTTCCGGGGATGTTGGAATGGCGTGGGCGTTGTCCGTCTGCCCCAAGCCATTGCTTCGCAGAGAGGCCGGCGTGTCGCGTCTCCGTTCGCGGGACCAACCGTGGGGCTCCGAAGAAACCATTCTTTCAGGAAGCCGCCGAGCTTTGACAATAACGCGGGGGCGAGACAGCGGGGGTTTCTGGGAGTTGTGGTCCTCGGGGCCGCCTCGCTTCCGGGTGAGAGAGGCGGGCGCCGCGGAGGGCAGGCGCGGAGCGTTCCGGCCGCCGCGGCGCGCAGCTCGGTGGGGGGCCCCGGAAGCGCTCTGCTTCTCGGCTGGCCGGAGGGCACTGTGAGGTCGCAGGTGCCGAGCTGCCGGGGCCTTTGGGCTGGGCCGGAGGGGAGAAGCGCAGCCGCTGTCGCCCCGCGTGGCCGCTGCCGGGGATCCAGCCAACCCTCCCCGCCGGCGGCCGCTCTGTCTCCGGCCCGGCGCGGTCGTCTTAGGGCACCGAGGCCCGGACTCCTGCAGCCGCTGGTCCAGGCCCGTCCTGCCGTCGCATGGAGCTCCCTTGACTGCTCCGAACAGCCCGGACCGGCGCCTTTTGTGGATGAATTAAAACGGGGCCACTCCATTGCCGGCCATTGGCTAGCAGTGGGCATATGACCTAGTATGGGCCGGGGAGAAGTAAGCGAGATCTGTTGAGGCGGAGTTCTGGGAACTGCTTTTCTTCTGGTTAAAAAGGGAGGTGAGCCGGGCGCGGTGGCTCACGCCTGTAATCCCAGCACTTTGGGAGGCCGAGGCGGGTGGATCACGAGGTCAAGAGATCGAGGCCATCCTGGTCAACATGGTGAAACCCCGTCTCTACTGAAAATACTAAAAATTAGCTGGGCATGGTGGCGCGTGCCTGTAATCCCAGCTACCCGGGAGGCTGAGGCAGGAGAATTGCCTGAACCCAGGAGGCGGAGGTTGCGGTGAGCCGAGATCGCGCCATTGCACTCCAGCCTGAGTAACAAGAGCGAATCTCCGTCTCAAAAAAAAAAAAAAAAAAAAAAAGAATTTTTCGAATGTTTAAAAAAGGTGAGATACATTGTATACTCCCGTAGTCAAACAGTATTTCTGTAACAGAAATGTGTGAGTATTCACAAATACTCACCCTAAGTGGTATATATAAAGGTTGCAAATAGGGCCAGGCACAGTGCCCGTAATCCCAGTACTTTGAGAGGCCAAAGCGGGAGGATTGCTTGAACCCAGGAGTTTGAGACCAGCCCAGGACACATTGTGAGATCCCCGTCTCTACAAAGTAAAAATAAAAAAAATTAGCCAGGCACTGTGGCGCCCACCTGTAGTCCCAGCTACTCAGAAGGCTGAGGTGGGAAGATTGCTTGGACCTGGAACGTTGAGGCTGCATCAAGCTGTATCACACCACTGCACTCCAGCCTGGGCTAGCGAGACCCTGTCTCAAATAAAATAAATACAATAAATAACAAAGGTTGTAAATAGTCTCACATCCGTTCAAATGAGTTTACTCCAAAGGTGGGGAAAAACTAATGATTTGCAGGAGTCTGCATTTCAAAATTGAAAATAAGGTACTGTTGTGGGTCTCTAAAAACGTTTGTCTTGCAGTTTAGATTAGTTGACTTTTTTTGTCACCCATTTTTTTTTTATATCACTGGACTTTATACTTGTGGCTGCTTTTCCGATGTGTCAGAATTTCAACAAATTTCAAGGATCTGATTGGCTTTTATTAGCAATGCATGCACCAGGCAGTAGACAAGATAGAAAAGTGCTCCAGTGAGGAGAGAGTGGCTGAGTTTGACCAGCAGAAAAACGTGGAGGAAAGCAGGAAGAATGAACAAATAGCAGATCAGTCATTTCAAGATTACTTTCCTTATAGGGGTGGAAATGAAAGCGTGGCTTATTTAGCTTTCTTCTCTCTCCTGATTTCTCAGAAGATCAGATCTTACGAGTAAGTAACCCCGGTTTCACTTTGGTGGCATGGATCCTTAGCATTCATGACTCCAGTTTTGATTTTGGCCTGCTGTCATTCTTACGTGGATGCATTTGGTAATGCGGGGAGGATACTTAGCCCAGGAACGAGATGCCGCAGTAGGTAAATTTAGAAGGATGCAGTTTAGCTTAGCACACTGTTTACCCAGCATCAGTCACTTGGGTACTACTAACTGCAAGATGTATACCAAATCTCTCCTATGATTTACATAGCATATTTATTTAAATTCTCAATAGCTTAAGTTTGAAAACCTTTAAAAATAATATGTAACATCTATAAAATGATGGTTTGAATGCTCATTATTTTAATATGTTAAATAGGTTAATTATTAGAAGAAAATTTGGGGGGCCAGGCACTGTGACTCATGCCTGTAATCCCAGCACTTTGGAAGGCCAAGATGGGTGGATTGTCTAAGGCCAGTAATTCAAGACCAGTTGGCCAACATGGCAAAACCCAGTCTCTACTAAAAATGCAAAAATTAGCCAGGCATGGTGGCACATGCCTGTAATCCTAGCTTTTTGGGAGGCTGAGGCATGAGAATTGCTTGAACCCCAGAGGCATAGGTTGCAGCGAGTCAAGATCACACCACTGCACTCCAGCCTGGGTGACAAAACAAAACTCTGTCTCAAAATTTAAAAAATAAAATATGGGAAAACTTCATGATACTGGATTCTTGCATATGACACCAACAGCACAGTCAACAAAAGGAAAAAATAATTTGAACTATATCAAAATTTAAAATTTTATACATCAAAAGACACTACTAATCCAGTGAAAAAGCAACCCATGAAATAGAGAAAATCAGAGGCCAAGGTGGGCGAATCACCTGAAGTCGGGAGTTCAAGACCAGCCTGACCAACGTGGTGAAACCCCATCTTTAAAAAAAAAGAGAGAGATAAAATATTTTCAAATCACATATCTGATAAGGAGTTAATATCCAGATTATATAAAGAATGCCTACAACTCAACAACAACAAAAAACCTGATTGAAAAGCAAAGAATTAGCCTCATGCTAGAGAGGCTGAGGTGGGAGGATCACTTGAAACCAGGAGTTTGAGGTTACAGTGAACCATGATCTCACCACTCTACTGTATCCTAAGTGGCAGAGTAAGACTATGTCTCAAAAAAGAAAACAGAAAAATAGACAAATAAATAGACATTTCTCAAAAGAAGATATACAAATGGCCAATAAGCGCATGAAGATGATACCAGTCATTAGGGAAATGCTGATCAAAACCATATTGAGATACCACTTCACACCCATTAGGATGGCTATTATCAAAAAGAAAAAAATCAATGGCCAGGTGCTGTGACTCATGCATGTAATCCCAGCACTTTGGGAGGCTAAGGCAGGCAGATCACTTGAGGCCAGGAATTCAAGACCTGGCCAACATGGTAAAATCCCATCTCTACTAAAAATACAAAAATCAGCCAGGTGTGGTGGTGAAGGCCTCTAATCCCAGCTACTTGGGAGACTGAGGCAGGAGAATTGCTTGAACTCAAAGGAAATGGAGGTTGCAGTAAGCCGAGATCACGCCACTGCATTCCAGCCTGGGTGACAGAGTGAGACTATCTCAAAAAAAAAAAAAAAAAAAAAGTGGCCGGGTATGGTGGGTGGCTCATGCCTGAAATCTCAGTGCTTCGTGAGGCCTAGTTGAGTACATCACTTGAGCCTAGGAGTTTGAGACCAGCCCAGGCAACATGGCAAGACCTCATTAAAATACAAAAATTAACCAGGTATCATGGCTCCTGCCTGTAGTCGCACCTAATCAGGAGGCTTAGAGGTGGGCGGATTGCTTGAGCCTGGAAGGTTGAGGCTGCAGTGAGCTGAAATTGTGCCACTGCACTCCTCCAGCCTGGGCAACAGATGAAGGCCCCCTTAAAAAAAAGAGAAAAGAAAATGACAAGTTTTGGCTAGGCTGTGGAGAGATTGGAATCCTTGTGCATGGCTGGTGGGAATGTAAAATGCTCTAGCCATTGTTGAAAACAGTGTGGTGTTTCTCCAAAAAATTAAAAATAAAATTACCATATAACCCAGCAATTCCACTTCTGGCAATATACACAGAAGGCAGGGACTCAAGCAGATATTTGCACACCTGTGTTCATAGCAGCCTTATTCCCAGTAGCCAAAAGTCAGAAGCAACCCAAATGTCCATCAGTGGATAAACAACATGCGGTCACCGTGTGTGGTGGCTCACGCCTGTAATTCCAGCACTTTGAGAAGCCGAGGCAGCCGGACCCACATGGTGAAACCCCATCTCTACTAAAAATACAAAAATTAGCCCAGTGTGGCGGCATGCACCTATAATCCCAGCTACTTAGGAGGCTGAGGCAGGAGAATCGCTTGACCCTGGGAGGTGGAGGTTGCAGTGATTTGAGATCATGACACTGAACTCCAGCCTGGGGGAGAGAGAAGACTGTCTCAATAAATTAATTAATTTTAAAAAGTGGTTTTTACGTTTATATATATAATACCCTACCATACAAAAATACGGTAGAATAATATGCAACCTTAAAAAGGAAGGGAATTTTGGCACATTTTACAACATGGATGTACCTTGAAGACATAATGCTAAATGAAATAAGCCAATCACAAACAGTCCAAACTATGATTCCACTTATATGAGCTGCCTAGAGTAGAGAAACGAATGGAGACAGAAAGCCGAATGGTGATTGTCAGGGCCTGGGAGGAGGAGGAATGAGAAGGTGCTGTGAAGTGGGTCGAGTTTTCACTCGGGAAGATGAAAAAGTTCTGAAGATAAATGATGGCGATGTTTGCACAACGTTGTGAATGTACTTAACACTACTAAATCATGCACCTAAATATAGTTAAGGTGGCACACTTCATCTTATGTATATTTTACCACAATAAAAAATACGTTAACTATTAAAATGAAAGTTGTTTATCAGCTAGGTC